TTCCGCTATGGATACGCCCACGGGTTGCAGTTCGCCCTCCCTGACCACGGCAACTACTTCGGCGGGGCGGTGTCCTTCAAGGCGGACATGCTGCGCCTCACGCCCTGGTACAAACTCGGGGTCAACATCTTCGCCATACACACCAAGTGGGACTACGAGCAGGTCAGGTCATGTGAGGTTAAGTGATGGTGATGAGGGTTAATGGTAATAATGATATTGATGATAACCAGCAAAAGACGGTATTTAAGGTAATAGTAACGCTATCAGTAATATTGATAATGATAATGATAAGAAGAATGCTTATATCATTTGTGATGATGAAGAAAATAATAATAACAATGGTAATGATTATGATGATATTTATGATACTGATAATTATCATATTTTTGAGAATGATATTTACAATACTGATAATTATCACTTTTATGAGAATGGTAATAATGATGATTATGATAATGAAAATGAGAATGATATAAGCCTGCAACTCACTGTATCTACACATCTTTGATCGAATCTTTCACAAGTGACATTCGGCCTCTTTTTAAAAATTGTACGAAGTCCGACCCAACGAATATTCGCATAATGCATACACACAAAAATAAATGCAAATATCTCTCTATCAGGTATATATACACATTTATTTGTCTATCTGTTATGTTGATATACATGTCTAGACTGATAAATATGCAGCATTTACTTCTTTATAACTGCATGTTCGTATATAAGAATATTCACTGGGTCGGGCCTCGCACCATCTTAACAGACTGGCCGACTATCTTTCCTTACAACCTCGTGAAGCCCGATTCTTTTCCTGAAACCGCAGTATTAGCTTGCCACATGCCACTTGCCCCTGATGTTTCTAATACATTCCTCCTCCTCTTTGTTCTCTCTGTCTTTATTTTCATTCCAGAAGTTTTTTACCTTTCCTCTTGGTTCGGTTTTCAGATGTAGAATTAATTAAATTTCTGTACAATTTGTTCATATCAGCAAACTGCTCCCTGTACTGTTGTAAATTTCTCGTTTCAGGATCTCCCTGACTATATTAAATCCTCTCTATTTTGATTTTTCTCTCGAGGTACTACACAACATTCTAATTTGTATAAATATGAAAATACACATTACTGCTATTGCTGTTGTTGTTATCATCAGTATTAATATAACGATGATATTGATAGTATTAATCATTATCATCACACCTTTAGCATTATATTACTCTATTATGATACAGGTCTTGGAAAATCAACAGAAGATTTATACGTACTTATTCCCGCAGGTTAAAAGCGTGATGCCCAATGACACTGTATACATCTCCATTGTCAGAGAACCCACTGAGCTGTTCGAATCGCTGTATACCTACGTTAAGTTCGAAAACGTTAGTATTGCATGGGTAATATGAGGAAAACTAACGAGGAAATAGTTGCAATGACAATAATGACGGTAATAATAATGATAATGATAATGAAAATGATAATAATGATAATAATGATAATAATAATAATATAATAAATAATAAATAATAATAATAAATAAAATAATAAAATAATAATAACAATAACAATAATAATAATAATAATAATAATAATAATAATAATAATAATAATAATGATAATAATGATAATAATGATGATGATGATGATGATAATAATGATAATGATAATAAAAATAATAGTGATAATAATGATAACAATAATAATAAGATAATGATAATGAAAATAATGATGATAATGATAGTAATAATGATAATAAATAATAATAATAATAATATAATATAATAATAATAAATAATAATAATAATAATTATAATGATAATGAAATAAACAATACAGATAATAATGGATATAATGATGATAATGATATAATAATGACAATAACGGTAGTAGTAAGTAACGATAATAACAGAATGCGTGATAACCGCAGCAAGAGTAACACCCAGTGTACGATTAAATATTAATTATATCTTCTTTTACAGTTTTACAAGAAAACATTAGAGGAATTCGTAGCGTCGGAAGATGCAGACGGCGAGAGATACCAAAAATACCTGTGGTACAATCAGATGGCCTGGGATTTCGGTCTGCCAGCGGAAGCCATGACGGACCTCGACGCAGTGCAACAGCTGGTAGGTGTTGGTTATGTCTGTCCGCCTCTTCTCTGTCTATATAGTATTCTCTATAGTATATAATAATATATATATATATATATATATATATATATATATATATATATATATATATGTGTATATATATATATATATATATAATATATATATATATATATATATATATATATATATATATATATATATATATCTTTCTCTATCTCTATTGGCGGCACCAGGTGTGTTTTGACAAATCAATCTCTCTTTCTCTCTCTCGCTCTCTTTCTCTCTTTCTCTCGTGTATTATTTTTGCTCATCTTTGTCGTACTTACGTAACTGTAATCAACAAAAAGTAAAAATTTACAGGTACAAAAACGAATAACCATCGACAAAAAATAGCTAAAA